GCATTTTCCATCCTGAGGCCTCTGGAGATGTCTTAGATTCTCGTAATGCTGAGAAGGGTTCAGTTTAACAATCTTAGTCATTGAATAACGTGGCTGTTATTGTGTACAAAGTCCTCTTGGTTCTGCTCACTTCACTCAGCATCAGACCATATAAGTCTTTCCAGGTTTTTCTGAAGTCAGCCTGTTCATCCTTTCTTATAGCACAGTAGTATGCCATTACATTCATATACCACAACTTGCTCAGCCATTCCCCAATTGATGGGCATCCTCTCAATTTCCAATTCTTTGCCACCACAAAAAGAGCTGCTATGAGTATTTTTATACATGTGGGTCCTTTTCCCATTTGTTTGATCTAGAAGAGACTAGTATCATGGAAACCTAGAGAGAAATTATCAGGGAGAAGAGAGTGATCAACTATGTTAAAGGCTGCAGAGAGCTCAAGTAAGATGACCACTGAGCAAAGGCCATTAGTATATGTAACTCCATGAGGATAAGGGACAGCCCACCAGACAGTGACACTGTGGAACTCAGATCTCTAGGACTCTTTAGGGAGGACAGAGGTTTTGGGAGAGAGGAGACAGAAGCAATTCAGTTCTATAGGGAATTGGGAATGTAGAATCCAGGAGTCTGTGGTCCAACAGTCTTCCATGTTAGGACCCAGTCCCGACATCTACCAGATACAGAAGAGAGAGCCCTGAGAAGGAAAGGAAGGAGTTCTTGACCACATTGCTACAGCGGACACTTTTAAGGTTTTTTAACAGCAGATTTATCTGTGGCTTCACCAATGATAGTTTTCTCTCCCTCATCCAACTTTTACCTGAGTGCCAACCTTTTACATATAAGTAAGAATTTACACGAGCAGCTAGGTGGCACAGCAGATAGAGTGCCAGGCCTGGAGTAAGGAAGACCCGAGTTCAAATTTGGCCTCAGATACTTACTAGCTGTGTGACCCTGGGCAAGCCACTTAACACTGTTTGCCTCAGTTTCCTCATCTGTAAATTGAGCCAAAGAAGGAAATGGCAAACCACTCCAGTATCTCTGCCAAGAAAACCCCAAACGGGTCACAGAGAGTCAGATATGACTGAAACGACTGAATGACAAAGAGATTACTTACACAAGATAGCCCCATCCCCGTGTAGGTCGCCTTGACCTGGGGTGACTTTCACGTGCCCCCAAATCCTGTGAGCTCAACCAAGCCATGTCTTGTCTTGCGAGGGTCAGGAGAGCTTCTGCTGATGCTACCTCCTCCTCCCATTATTACCTGCATCACTGATGCCTACTCATCCTCACAAAAGTCAGTGTGCAGACCATACTTGCTCTCCATCCAGACCGAGGCCTCTCCAGAATTATTCCTGTGTGTGCCCCGAATCCCGGAAGCTTGAGGAGCACAGTTGAGGTGCTTGGATGATGCAAACTTCCCACTCCACAGTTTGGACAGGGAGCTAGTAGCTGGCCACCAAAAGGAATCCACTCAGAGCCAACCCTCCTCGAAAGACAGCGTCTAGTGGGTTGGCAGGCTGAGGGGCCGCTTCTCCCAGCCGCTGTTTGTCACTCCCGGTTCAGGCACTGGCAGGGACCTATCACACAGCCTTCCTGCTGTCGCTGGCCCATTTGCTGCGTTTTTTGGGACCTCTGTCACTGCTTGTTCTTCCCATCAGAACCTGAGCTGCTTGAGGGCAGATATCATGCCTCCAAGATCATCACCTTTCTTTGTATCCCATTGCTTAGCACAACCTGGGACGATGCTTATTGACTGACTGACTGACGGACAGACTCACTGACTTGCTGCTTGCTCATCACTCATGGAATGGCCCAGCCAGACTCAAGGGCAGGCTTTCTTTGATTGCTGAGTTCCTCCTGGAGCCTCCATTTTGGAGGCCCAGATGGCCAAGCTTCATTCCCTTCCAGGCTCTACTTCTGCCTCCCAGGGTCTCAGCTGTGCTCTCCTTCTGGACCTTCCCTCAGCACCTGGGACCTCCTCACCCTGGAACACCCATTCCCCCTCTGGCTTTCTCACTCTGTTAGCCTTCCCCTTCTTCCCTTGATTCATTTCTCTCAGGCCCTCCGTTTTGGAAAGGGGTCCAGGCCTGCCAACTTTCGATTCCTTTCTAGGCTGTTTCTGACTTTCTAGACTTCTAAACAATGTCCCACCCAACAGAAGTACCCCTCTGCTTTGTGCTTTGTATTCCTCCATGAGAATGTAAGCTCCTTGAGGGTAGGGACTGTCTCTTTTTGCTTAGCCTAGTGCCTGGCACATAGCAAGTGCTTAATAAATGTTTTCTGACTTGAGTGATCGACTCCAAAGGGCAGCCTTTGGTTTTAGGGTACAGAGCAATGGAGAACAGTCTGTCTGAACTATTCTGAGCTCTCCTATTATTGGCCAGGATAAGAAATAAAGGGAGGGGGTCGCTTTGGTTGTCTGATTCTTCCCCTCCCCAATAATCCACATCTTTAAGATATTGATGATTTCTTGTTCACCGGGGTGGGCATTCTAGCCACCCCTTTCTCTTCCTTCATTCCCTCCTCAACAGAAGTTCTCTTGAATTCCCCCCAACCCCACCCCAGTTTCACTATGAATATGGCAGAAGCAAAGAGAAGAATAGAAGATGAGGAGATCCTTTCTAGAAGCTAAGCTTCTTGGGAACTGTGAGGATTATGAATGAAGCCCTGACTGGCCAGCTTCCCCTTGTGTGCCAATCCCACTTCATGTCAAAGTGTGTAAACATAAATATTCCCCACTTGTGTTTTTCACAGTCATTTTTTAATACTTCTGTGTTCCAAATAAAGTGATGAAACCCCAAAAATGCTGCTGGGGGGAGCATGGGGTAAACACAGGATAAAGGAATAAGGCAAGTTTTACTCTAAACAGGAAATTAAGTCTATTCCAATACTCCAGAATCTCTGTGTGTAATATTTTGGGCACAGACATGAATTTATATTTGAAATTTTTTCAGGGCAAAGATCACTAGTATTGAAGCTTTCTCGTGGAACATCTATTCTCATTCCGAGGAACAGCAATTGTTTGAAGATCACAGTGTGTCCAGGGATTGTCTACCTTGTATAACCCCTTGAGGGCCTGTCCTGTCTGCAGTGGAACCCCTTCTCTCTCCAACTGGCCATTGAAACATTGGTCAAAGAAAATACAGCTGGTCAAATTCCCAACAGTCAACAAGCATTTAAAGGGAACCTGCACTATATATACAGGGGATTGAAAATGAAGTTGGCTCTGCCCTCAAAGAGCTGACATTTTATAGGGGCAGCAACATTTATATTAAAAAACATGCATACATGGAATAATTGGAGGGAGGAGAGGAATTAGCAGCTGGGAGAAGCTGGCTAGGCCTCATGTAGAAGTGCTAGAGTTCAGCTTTGAAAGTAACCAGGGATTCTTAGAGGCAGATATAGGCAGAGAGGAAAGCATTCCAGGCCCAGGGGACAGACAGTACAAAGATCTCCGATGGGAGATGGAGGCTTACGTGTGAGAAATAGCACGAATACTGGAAAGGTAGTGGCTGGTGAAGAGGGTGGGGAGGGGCTGAAACTCCAACAGAAAAGTTTGCATTTGATCCTAGAACACAGGTTCTTAACCTGTGAACGATTAAGAAAAAATAACTATTCCAATATAATTGGTTTTCTTTGTAATCGTTTATGTTTTATTGACTGCAGTGAAGAACATGATTCTGGAAAGGGACCCATCAATTTAGTCAGACCTCGAGAGAGCTTCAGGTGTTAAGAAACCCTCATCTTGGAGTGACATCAATGGAGTTTATTGACTGTATAGGCTAGGGTGGGGTGAGATGACATGGTCAGACCGAAGCTTTTGGAAAATAACTTTGTCCTGGAGGACGGACTGGATAAGGGAGAGATTGAGGCAGGGAGATCATTAGAGGCTATGGTTATAGTTCCATAGAAAGGGGTGAATGGAGGCTCAGCTATTCAGGAATGGGCATCCCTTTGGGGAACTGGAAGGGACCTTGGTGGGCTTCTGGTCCCATCCCCTCCCTTTCCAGAGGAGGAAACCAAGTCCCTGAGAAATGAACTGATGTACCCAAGTTGGCACATCGTAAGCAGCTGGGTCAGGATTTGACTCCAAGTCATCTGACCCGCAGGCACCGGTCACTGTCCAAGCACTGGACCCAGCATTCAGAACTAGAAGGGATCGAGGGAGTCTCAGTCCAGTCACCTCACAACACAGGGAAAGAAGACGATCTGGGCATTCGGAGAGGCCCTTTGCTTCCCAATCCAGGCTTCCTTCACGGCACCACTGAAGTGTGAATGTTTGTGTGTATATGTATACACACGTGTGTATACGCTACCACAGCCTTCCTAATTATGTCCAAACGTTGGCCAAAGAAAATATAATTGGTCAGATTCCCCAGCCCGGCTCTCCCTTTCTCCCATCAGACAAGGCAGTCAGTTCGAGAAGCGCCTACTATGCAGGACAGACACTTGCACCCAGTGCAGGCTGGGGATGGTGCTACCACTTCTGGGTAGTAGCGGCCTTCATAAAACAAAGGCCAGCCACCCTCTCCTCACTTTACAGGAAGCCCACCATGGGCCTTGAATCTTAGAGAATCTACTGTTTGCTACTGATGAGGCTTGGCTCAGCGCCGAGCCCCTGAGACAGGGCCCCAAGCGGATCTTCCGCGCCCCAGGGTGGGCGAAACATCTGGAGACAGCTCCAGGAAAAGGCCAATGCAGATTGGGGGTGGGGCAGGGTCTGCAACACCTTAAATAACCGTGGAGAGCCTTCCACAGGGACCAGCAGGGCTCTCCTTCTGCAGGGTGTGCACCCAGCTCGACCACTTGTGCCCAACCCAAAGTGCTGGAGACCTCTCTCTGGGCCTGGTTCGGGAGCCAGGGCACGCACTGGGCACGGGCTCTGCAGCCGAGCGGGGGAGGGAAAGGAGGAGGGAGGGAGAGAGCCTTGGGGGCAAGTGAGCCTGGGCCAAAGCTGCTGCTAAGCCCGGCGCCGCCACCACCGCTCCGCCCGTCTGTCCGTGCGCCCCGCCTCCCCCAGAGCTAGGCGGAGCCGGGGACCCGGAGGAGCAGGAGGAGAGGTCGGAGCAGTCTCTGGTCGCCCAGAGAGACAGAGTCCCCTCGGCAGCTGCTGCGGCGAGAGGTGAGCGAGGCCACACTGGGCAGGGGTACATGGTGGACACCCTCGGGGGCAGCGGAGCGCAGGGTGCGGCAGGGCAGGGATTTGGGAGGCGGCGGCGCCGCCGAATCCTGGGGCGGAGGAGAGATGGAAGGAGGGAGGGAAAGAAGGAAGGAAGGAAGGCAGGCATGAGTGTCCGGAGGGCGGAGACTGGCTTCGCGCACGAAGCGCCCCAAGACCGGGGCCAGGAGAGGGCGTGCGTGCGCCCTGGGCGCGGGAGCTGAGGAGGGGGCGCTTGGCCCTGGGCTTGAAGCCTAGGAGGGGCTGCCCAGGCCTGGGGGAGCCCTCCGTCCCCAGCTGAGTGTGCCTGGTTTGGGGGATGGGGAGGGGAAGGAGAAACGCTGCCCTACCCCTGCCCGTCTCGTCTGCCCTGGGCGCGTCCTCAACACGAGGTTGCCCCCTAACCCCAGTCTGGGGCAACGGTCGAGGGATTCGGCGCAAGGAGGGCGCTGCCCTTCCTCCGGGGGTTGGGGGGAGACCACTTTGCGGTAGAGAGATTGGCGTAGAGCGCCTCTGGGGAGTGCCACGCCCCTCTCGCTTTCTCGACCCCCTTCCCGCAGGCCCCTCCCCCAGCTGGGAAGGCGTGTACCCAGGTTGAGCATCCGGGGACAGAAACGTGGGGAGCCAGAGCTCGGGCTGGCGTGGGAAAAGCGAGGCCTGGGGAAGTGGGGGTGGTGGTAAAGGCCAGCCACGGACACCGGAACGCAGGACTTCCCACGCACCGCGGGTTCAGATCGAGACGGGGCGGGGATGGGGCTGGGGTAGGCCACGCGTGTTCTCAAGGACCATATGGAGGCCATGGAGTGGAGAAAACCCATGCTTGACTTCTTTGCTTTTAAATATGAAGTCTGGCCAGAGGTGCAGGGAGGAGGGGGTAGTGGATGGACCACGGAAGCTTTCAATTTCAGTAAGGAAAATTTCCCCAAGGTGGCTCTGGCTGCCTTCATTTGCTGCCTGGCCCTCCTGCCTTACGCTGAGCCTGGCAGTGTGTTCTTGCCTGGGAAGCTTTACTCAAATCATTCATAAAATTCTCCCTAGGAGGAAAGGGAAGTGTTGGTTTTAGTTGAGATTTTCCCGAGTGAAACTTTAGACGTTTCCCCAGCTGAGAGGTGGAATTGACAAGGCCTGGCCTGGCCTCGGCCTTTCTCGGAGGGTCTCTTCTGTCACTGGCTACACACACAGGCTCATTTTCCTAAAGGGACTAGCTCGATTTCATTCCTGCCCCGGAGGGAAATGAAATAAGAAAAAACCAGAAAGAAGCCAGCTTAGGAAGGCTGCTTTTTTATTCTTCCCCCCCCCAACATTCCCTGTTTTTGTTAAATGGCCGGCCTGGCCGTGGGAAAAAAAAACCTTGGAATTCGTTGGAGAGTCAAACGTGTGGAGTTGGATAAACTTTTCAGGATCGGCTTCCTTCCCATCATTTACTCCTTTCTCCCCACCTCCTGCCTTTGGGGACAGGGTGTTTATATTTCCTGGCACAGTTATAACCCAGACTGAATATACTGTCTATAATGAATCTTTTTGGAGGTTGCCAGAAGGCCAGATCTCAAAGGGTGTCTTTGCTCTCCCCTCCACTCCTTAGAGTACTTTATGGCCCTGGGTTTAAAAGGTGCATTAAACTTCAACAGCCCCCTCTTGAAAACACCTGCCTGCTTTCAGAGCAAGGGTTAATCGTGATCTCAGGGAAGGAGCTCATTCATGCAAGCCAGGTAGGAAAGCTGTGTGTGTGTGTGTGTGTGTGTGTTGTGTGTGTGTGTGTGTGTGTGTGTGTGTGTGTGTGTGTGTGTGTGTGTGTGTGTGTGTGTGTGTGTGTGTGTGTGTGTGTGTGTGTGTGTGTGGTGTGTGTGTCTGCACACAGGTTGGAGGATTCATCTGCTATCTGGAAAGCAATCAGTCAGTCATTAAAACCAGGCAAAAAAACTCCGAGACCATCAATCAAAACAATGGAATTGACATCCTGCCCATCAACCCCCCAGGAGTAGAGGAAAAAAGGGAAGAAAATGAGAGTACCAGGCTGGTGGGGGTTACTTGCCCAATCATGTTTTTTCAGACCAATAAAGAAAATCTGGAACATTGGAATAAGCACAGTATTTACTGTCTGAAGGCTTGGCTTTGCTGCCACTCATGTCATATGACCTTGGGCTAGTCACATCAGTCAGTAAGCATTAAGCACCTACTGTGTGCTAAGGGCTGGGGATACAGAGAAGGCAAAAAAACAGTCCAGTCTGATGGAGAGGCAGCGTGTCAACAGCTGTGTTCAAATAAGCTATGTACAGGATAAATTGGAGCTAATCAACAGAGGCATTAGGATCAAGGGGGATTCAGAAGGGATTTTTGCAGAAGGTGAGGTTTTAGCTGGGGCTTATCCCCTCCTCCCGCCCTCCCCAGCCACATCCAATCTGTTGCCAAGGCCTGTTGATTTCACCTTTGCACCATTTCTCCACTGGGCTTCTTTCTCTCCTCTGATACTGCCACCACTCTGATGCAGGCCCTCATTACATCATGCCTGGACTATAGCAATAGCTGCCTGGTGGGTCTGCCTGCCTCACGTCCCTCCCCACTCCAGTCCATTCTCTGTCAGCCACTGAGTGCTTTCCCACAGCAGAGGTCCGATCACGTCACCCCCATACCCAATTAACTCTGATGGCTCCTGCTACCTCCCGATCCCAAGTCCTCTGGCGTCAGGGCCTTCCTCACCTGCCCCCTCCTCCCTTTCTAGTCCTTACGCACCTTTCTCCTAACACATACTCTGATCAGAACCACTGGCCCTACTGGTCTGTCGCGAACAGACACTCCATCTCTCAGCCCTCTGTTTTCTCTGGCTGTCTCTCCTGCCTGAAAGTTCTCCTGCCTCGGTGCCCCTGGCCGTTTCCCTGGCTTCCTTTAAATCTTCACTGGAATCCCACCTGTGTCTATGAGAACCTCCCCCACGCCCTCTCACTGCCGGTGCTTTTCCTCTGTTAATTGTCTCCTTTTTTCCCTGTCTCTCTAGCTTGTTTGCAGGCATGGGGCTGCTTATTGTCCCCTCCTCATATTGAGGACATGGACGTCTTTTGCCTCTTTTCGCCTCCCAGTGCTTAGCATAGTGCCTGGGGCTTAATCAATGTCTCTTGACTGGTGACTTGAAAGAGACCAGGGAGGCCAGAAGGTCGAGATGAGGAGGCTGAGAATTCCACCCACGGGGAGGGATGGCTGGGAGCTGAGAGGTGGGGTTTCCTGACCTGTGGAAGGTTCGTACTGGAATCCATCCAGGGATTGGGCTCGGGTATTCAGGATTGGAAGGGACCATCTGGTCAAACCCCCTCGCTTTACAGAGGAAGCAGCTGAGATCTGCAGAGATGAAATGACCCGCACGTTTGTATCTGGGGCTAGATTTGAACCCAGGTCCTCCCAGCCCCCAACTTTGTGACTCCCAGTCCTTTGTTCATGGTGGTGACTTTCCTTCCAGCTCTAAACCTGTGCTTCTAGAGGCTGTGGTAACACTTGTGCTTGTGTTCATAAAATCCAGTGACTTTGGATGAGTTATTCTTGGCCTCAGTTTCCTCATCTGTAAAATGGAGATCATACTGAGACTCCAGTGAGGCACAAATGAGCGTCAAGCACTTTGCAAACTTGAGGGTGCTACAGCAGTGTCTAGTTGTTGTCATTATTATTATTATTATCATTATCATTGTTATTATTAACCCATTGTGACTGAACTTAAGATTTCTGTTTTGTGTGTGATGTTTTTATTCTGCCTAATTTGTGTCTGAATGAATGAAGGAAATCGTTTTTATTGAGTGCTGACTATGGACCAGCTACTGTGCTAAGGGCTGAGGATAAAAAGATTGAAAAAGAGGCATTCCCTGCCCTCAAGGAGCTTGCAGTCTAACAGGAGAAAAGAACACATCAAGGAGGGAGGGGAAGGGAAGGGAAGTTTGCTCTGGGGAGTAAGCCAGTGGGGACAGGTGGAAGGTGAGGCGGCTTGTGTGGGCAGCTGGATAGGATAGGAAGGATGGTGGCCCATCGCTTTTCTGGGCATCGGCCCCAGTGCCATTCTGGCTACCTCCTGTTACTACTGAGGGTTGGGAGATGACAGACCTCTGCCTGTATACCAGGCACTATGCTGAGCCCGGAGGATACGAAGGAAGGTCAGAACCCTGTCCCGGTCCCAAGGAGCTCCCATCCAAATAGCTACAGAGTAAATGGAAGATCAGCTCAGAGAGAAAGGGTAGGAAGGGGAAGGAAAGATGTATTTACAAAGGAGAGATCTCCTGAAGAAGGTGGAATGTCGGCTGGACCATTGTAGGCTTGGGGGCTAGGGTGGGAAGAGCATTCCAGACATAAGGAACATCGAAGGCAAAGCCAGGGAGATGGGAGGTAGCGTGGTCTATGGGAAGACCAGCCAATAGGCCAGTGTTAGCTGCATCTTTGGGTAAAGGGATCTGAATAAGTAGCAAGGGGCTGGCAAGTGAAGGGCTTTAAATGCTAAACTGAAGATTTCATAGCTGATCCTGCTCTAGGCACTATGGTAGGCTTCTCATTGTATCCCCAGGGCCCAGCACGGTGCAGGCCCTGTAGTGGCTGCTTAATAAATGCTTGTTCGTTCAAATTATTCAGTAGGTAGAAATCCAATGAGGTCTTTGACTCGACCCAGGATAAGACTCAGGGATATAATTAGGAATGTTAGGGGCTTCTTTTCTTTCCCTGTTTAAAAATAAAACCTCAGTGTCCACATTCAGAATGAGATTATTTACAGCCTGGGGATTATAGTTCTCTTTGAAAGGTCCCTGGTTTGTCCAGTTTCCTTATGTTTGTTTAATCCGATCTCATGAAGCTCTGATGGAATAAACAGATTAGGGAAGGCAGTACTCTTGGGGCAGGACATGATCCCTGATGGCGAGCCTGGTGGGAAGGGAGAGTTTGGCTAAATCGCACCCCCAAGCAGCTCAGACTGTCCTCACTCACCCTAGTAGCAGGCGCCA